CCGCGTGTCTTCGACGCCGTACGCAGATACAGTCGCTTTTGTAGGCGCCTTGCTTTTCGTGTCTGCCTGCGGTGGGCCCCGTTCCCGGCGGCAGTATGGTACAGTTTCTCCCTGCCACAGGCTCGTAGCTGCCTGTAAGGGCTGTGTTATGCCGCTACAAGCTATCAGCAATGCTTGAGCACCGTGAACCACATCCAGCAGTGACGATCCTTGGAGCAATGTCGTGCACGGGCGAGCCCTCTCCGTGGTGACAGAAGCCCCATGCTACCGTGCGGGGGGGACGTTTGCTACGGCAGTGTGGTTTGCGTAGGTCACGGGGCCCAGCTTCGAGCAATGTTTGCCGATGCGCTTGCCTGGCTCTTGCGCGAAGATCGCCCGAATGCTGTCATTGCGACGCTGACGGAGGGCATTGCTTTTCGTACACAACATGGCCGGCATGCTTGCCGAGGCAGAGCTTCGCGGATTCCGCACGAAGATGCTTTGGCGCAGCGAGTGGCTAGAGCCGTGTTGGCCGCGCAGCAGCAGGAGGAGCTGCGGTCTCAATTTGGGGACTTCCTCGATTCCTGGATGAACGCAGATGCTGCTCGAGATGCTGTTTTGGAAGCTGCGCGATGTGCTTAACAGGAGGGAATGGCTTTCCGTCTGCAGCACGATCCTTTTCCTCGCCGGGGTCGCGAAGCTGAACTCGAGGGTGAAGACGCATTATACCAGCGCATCGCCAGAGCGGTGCCACTTGCGCAGCAGCAGGAGGAGCTGCGGTCTCAATTTGGGGACTTCCTCGATTCCTGGATGAACGCAGATGCTGCTCGAGATGCTGCTTTGGAAGCTGCGCGATGTGCTTTACAGGAGGGAATGGCTTTCCGTCTGCAGCACGATCGTTTTCCTCGCCGGGGTCGCGAAGCTGAACTCGAGGGTGAAGACGCATTAAATTAGCCCAGCGCATCGCCAGAGCGGTGCCACTTGCGCAGCAGCAGGAGGAGCTGCGGTCTCAATTTGGGGACTTCCTCGATTCCTGGATGGACGCAGATGCTGCTCGAGATGCTGCTTTGGAAGCTGCGCGATGTGCTTTACAGGAGGGAATGGCTTTCCGTCTGCAGCACGATCGTTTTCCTCGCCGGGGTCGCGAAGCTGAATTCTGCTTGCGTCAGTATGACGTTA